GCGCCGCGTCCTGCCGCCAAGCCCTCTCCGAGAGCGCATCCTCTGGCAGGCCGCAGCGCTTGCGACCCCTCTCCTCCCCTCCTCCGTGCACCTCCTCTGTTTTCAAGACCGGGCCCTGCTCCGCGGCTGGCGCTCACCGGCAGCTCCAGCTCCCGTAACGGCTCCTCCCGCCGCCCGGCTGCTCCCGCCGATACCTCAACCCGCTAGAACTTTCTTCCACTTCCGCTTCCGGGTCGCCTCGAGAGCCGCCTAACAAAATTAACTTTGGCACTTCTAGCCGCTTAGAGCCATAGAGATGAGGCGCTCTGGACCTCGACAGCAACCTTAGTAGGCGCTACTTTTCGGTCGATTCGCGGGAAGCCGGCCTGCCTGGTACGGTCTCGCTTCTCGGTCAGCATTTCCGGTCTCAGGGAGCAGGGGCCTCGGTGGAGAAACTTCATTTTTCCCGCTGCACGGCATCCGGAACTCAAGAACCTAGCCTTGGCCCACTTGCCAGTAGGAAGAGTTAGAGGGACNTGGGACGGACAAGGAGGGAGGAGGGTGGCAGGAGGCTCTCGGCAGAGTGCCGGAAGTACGAGTTTCGGAAGGGTCCGACTCTGGCCGACCTGAGTCGGGCTTTCAGGAGCAGGGCAGGAGCCGGGGGTGCTTAAGTGCTGAGGCCAAGCAAACNGGGCAGGAGCCGGGGGTGCCTAAGTGCTGAGGCCAAGCAAACCGCCGTCGTGACCGCCGGCAGGTTCATTTTTCTGTGTTTTCATTGGCTCAGCTGCGAAGTGAGCCGTGTACGAGCCGCTCCCAGCGTCCAGCCTGGAGAACAGGGTCCCTCTGGCAGCGCCCGTGGGAGAACAGGGCCAGAAGGTAGGTGTGGATCTCTCTCTCTCTGAGCGTCTGTCCTCCGGAATAGGGGAGGACGGCAGGGAACGACAACTAGAGGTAGCACTTCATTGTTTTCCTTTGGAAACCACCAGTCTTGATGGTGCCAGTCCTTGTTATTTCAGAACCCAAGTCACAATCCAGACCAACCCGGCTTACGTCGCCCTTCATAATGAACTTGTTCCCGGTTCGGACTATTGCGGTGCTCTCCTAACTGGTCTCTGCTTGTAGCGTGTTGAGAGATTGAGCATCTGTGTTGTGCTGCTGTGCTACACTGGGATGTACAAGCATATTGAGGAAGAGAACAGTTTAGTTTATCTCTTCTTTCTGCATGATTGCTGGAAGGACTTACTTAGTTTTTATGATTATGCCAGTATTTATGGTAACGTGAGTTATTTTTATGTGACATACACTGTGCTAAGTGCTTTGCTTACATCATCTCATCCTAATAACGATGTTCTTGGTTAGCTATTATTTTCTCAGAGGCCTAGAGAATTGAACAGTAAGGGTTGTCAATGCAGGAATGTCCAAACCTGTGGAGAAGTTTTATGAGCTTATTTGATCCAAACTTACAACATATACCAAGGAGCAAGATCTTAAACATTCCAGAGATTAACAGTTTTGCAGCTCCTTTTATGAATTTGAAATTGAGAAGGGAGCTAAGGAAGATTACATGAGGGTGGGAGAAAGCAAGGCAGGGAGTGGGTTACAGGATAGTTATGAGATGATATGCTCTCTTGAGGTTGGTCATGCCATAAAAACCTTTCACTAAAGAAGTTCTAGACCTGGGCTCTGGCCCGGTAGCTCCGTTGGTTATAGCGTCGTCCTGCTACACCAAGGTTGCCGGTTTTATCTCCAGTCAGGCACATACAAGAGGCAACTAATGAACGCACAATTAAGTGGAACATCAAATATACATTTTTTTTTTCTCTTTCTCCCTTCCTTTCTCTCTAAAATCAATCCATAAATAAAAGTTTGTTTGTTTAAAAAAAAAAAAGTTATAGGCTTGGGGCATGACCACTCACCATGACCTACCCATTTAGGAATTTATGATCAGATTACCCTGTGAGGTCATTTTCCATAGAACCTCTTCTTTCATTCACAAGAAATAGTCAAGTTAGGATTTCAGTCCAAGCAATTAGATTTGAGAGCCCATTTTCTTAACCAGGATACTGTGTCACTCCTCAGTAAAAGGTCCCTCCCCATCTTCAAAACAGTCCTGGATTCTGAGCCTGCCATCCAAGAAACTCAGGAGGAGAGGCTGGCAGCTTCTGCGTCCCTCGCCACCCTGGGAAAGGACCCAGCATGTCTCAGGCCACCAAGAGGAAGCATGTGGTGAAGGAGGTGCTGGGGGAACATATGGTACCTTCTGACCAGCAGCAGATCGTGAGGGTAAGTAGCATTAGGCACAAGCTGCTCTCCCCCCAACCCCTGCACTCCTTTTGTGCTCCTGGTGTGGGAGGATAGTACAGCGCAGCTCAGTGGATCTTTGAGCTGGCTGATGAGGCCAACTGGTTCTTGGTCTCCTGGACCAGGTACTCAGGACCCCAGGGAACAATCTGCATGAAGTGGAGACAGCCCAGGGGCAGCGCTTCCTGGTGAGCATGCCCTCCAAATACCGCAAGAACATCTGGATCAAGAGAGGTGAGAGAGGCAGCTGTCTAGGAGATAGAACCATTTCCTGTGATGGAAAGCTGAACTGACTGTGTCTTTTCTCCTATCCACGTACAGGGGACTTTCTCATTGTCGACCCTATTGAAGAGGGAGAAAAGGTGAAGGCTGAGATCTCCTTTGTGCTCTGCAAAGACCATGTGCGCTCTCTGCAGAAGGATGGACAGTGGTAGGTGGTCCCCTTGGCCACTGGCTGCCTGATTTCTGGGGGGATTGACTTCCTAGCTGTGAAATTGGGGGAGGAAAGATCATGGTATCCCAAGCTGGAACAGCTGAAAACAGCTTTTATGCTGAGAGATTTTTATGTTTTTTCTGACCCTGTTTTTTCCCTTGATATAGGCCTGAGGCCTTCTCTGAAGTGGCTGAGAAACATAACAGGAACAGGTAAGGTTCAAGCGTTAGGGTAGGGAAGACAGAAAAAAGGGGTTCAGGCTTTTGTGCCTTGATGGGGAAATAGAGCCTTCCCTTCTCCCTGGTGAGAGCTCCAAAGTATGTGGTTGTGCATATGGATTGGAAGTTAAATGGTATGGGTTAAAATCCTGGCTTTTCCCCTTATAAATGAGGTGCTTTAAGCAGGTTACTTAATCTCTTAAGCCTAAATTTCCTCACCTATAAAATGAGAGCCTGTGAGGATTAAAGGAGCTACTGCTTATAAAATTGCTTAGTTTAGTATCTGGTATGCAATGTGGATCCATTGCTTGTTGGTAGTAGAATCATTATTATTAAAACCAGTCACTCTGGTGAACTTTTGAGGGTAGCATTGGGGGTTTGTCCTTAGCCTGTTTTCCTTGGCCAAGTTTTACTGCTGTTTGCTCTGACTCTGCCCCTGTCTGACTTGCTGAGCCCTGACTGCCTAGTCATAGGGTCCTCCTCTTTGTGGGGCTCCTTGATTGCAGATCTGGCTTTCCCAGAAGGCAGTGGGCTAACTGTCCTTTTCCCCCATGAAGACAGACTCAGCCAGAACTCCCAGCTGAGCCACAGTCATCAGGAGAAGAGTACAGCTCTGAAGATGATTCTGACCTCTTTGTTAACACCAACCGTAGACAGTATCACGAGAGCGAGGAGGAGAGCGAAGAGGAGGAGGCAGCCTGAGGCCTGAGGACCCACTTCTCCTCTTGCACAGAGACTAGTCCTTCGTTCCTCTGACCTTGGACATTCCAAGGGTGCTCTGCAGATCTCCCATTCCCCCCACCCCACCACCCCACCCCTGGATCGGGACAAGGCAGGACTCCTCTCTGAACTGACCTAGGAGAATTAAACCCCTGGTGGGTGATGACTTGTGCTGGTGTCTGAGTGGCTCTCTGGAGGGAGGAGGGACCTGTGGTGAAATTAAAAATTGCTTCTTAGTAGAGGCCTCATGGGCAGGTAGGCTGAATGGGCAGAAAATATGGAATGACTAGAGTCTTTCCTAGGTTCTCTCTCTCATTGGGCACTTAGTAAGTGGCAGGCCCTGTGCTGTCCCTCCTTGCATGTATTTTATAACTGGAAACAGTCCCATTTTATTGCCTGCTTGCAATCCATACTGATTCAGGCATTCAGGATCACAGCCATAGGACCTAGTACCCAGTTGCCTCTAAGAAACACTCAGGATGAATTTCATAGTGCCTCATAAGCTGTTTTCCCTGCCTTTCTGGTCACCCATGACTGCAGGAGTGCCCATCTCCCTGCTGCTGTGTACCTCCCCTGGTTGCTGGACCCTTGTGGCAACTCACACTATCACTCCTCAGCCCTCTTGTAAACCACATCATCACATTTATCTTTTTTTACCTCTGGCTATATACTCTCCCTCCTCATTGCTGGCATTGACCTTCTGGTCTCTGCTCAGACATTGAAGAGTTTATCTTCTGGCTTAGAGTCTTTTACCTCTGCTTCGTCATTGTTTTCTCTATCCCATGGATGGGACTGTTCAGCACTGTGGCCCTTCAGTTCCTTGGTATCCCCATCACTAATGCTCTTGTCTTCTATTCCAGGCCTGCTGCCTACATGTCTACTCCCTGGACCCCTGATATCAATAGAAATTGCAGCACCTTTTGAATTCAGATACCTGTGCAGTCTCTGCCTCTGGTTTTCTCACTTACTGCTCAGCCAGCTCCTCTGCAGAAACTCATTACCTCTGTCCTCCGGCCCCAGCGCCTTCTCACCATTGTTCTCCTGCCTTCACTTTCCTCCTGCAACGCGGATTCCACGGCCCACACCCTCCACTCTCGTCTGCTTCTATTGCATTCAGCCATGAAAACCTAACCCCAGCCAGCCCAACCATTCACCTCTGTGCCTGTAACTATTAGAACCTCCAACTGGCTCACTTTTTTAATCTTGAATTTATAACTACAATCCTCAGAAGGACCCTCAGCACTGCCTAGCAGATCTACTCTGGGGCATATTTCAAAATTTCTTGTGTACCCATTCCCCTCTCCCCTGCTAGTCACCGCAGCTGTACTTCATCAAAAAGTGGTAGGCTATTGGTGAGAACTCGCACCTCCCGTTACCAACCCTACAAACGTCCTCATAGATCTTCCTGTCTTTTTACTTCCCGTTGTAATCCAATGGAAATTCAACCTTTCCTCATTTATCTGCTCCCCTCACTCACTTTCTATTATGTTGCTTAGTAGAGTGTTAAATGTATACATATATGTGTATACTTGCATGTATGTGTATATACACATTTAAAAATGTATATATACATACAAAAAGTAAACTTCAGATGAGGTAGAGATATATGTGTGTATATCTATTTTTAACCTGTTTGAAGTTTATTTTTTATGGGAGATAGCTAACTTTATTCCTAAAGGGGTGGCCACATGTTTTAAATGGGTCATTCTTTCTTTATTGATTTAAAATATCTTTTAAAATAAACTATATTCACCGTGGCCAATGTGGCTCAGTTGGGCATCACCCTGTGTACTGAAAGCTCACTGGTTCGATTCCCAGTCAGGGCACCTGTCCAGGCTGCAGTTTGATTCCTGGTTAGGGTGTGTTTGGGAGGCAACCCAATCAATGTTTCTCTCTCTCCCCCTCTCCCTTTCTCTCTCTAAAAACCAATTTAAAAAAATTTTTTTAAGTAATAAACTACATTCCTGCATATATATGGATCTCTTTGGAATTTCTAATCCTATTTATCTGTGTGCACATACCACATTTTATAGCATGATTGTTACAGCTCCCTTACCCCTGTCCCACTGTTGCTTGGAAATTTCATATCTTTTTCTTACGTAAGAACTTTAGAATGGACTTGTCAATTTTTGTTTAAAAGTTCTGAGATTTTCTTTGGTGTGGATTTAATTCTTAGAGTTTGGGAGAGAAATTGCTATCAACACTTTTGAGTCTCCATATCCAAAAATGAGGTTATGTTTGTCCTTTTGTAAAGTATTGTTTCCGTAGGGTCTCTGATGTTTCCAGTTCAGTTTAGTCTCAGGAATCTTAAGAATTGTTATGAGTGGGTCTTTTGAAATTACATTTCTTTTTAATCCTTACCTGAGGATATTTTTTCTATTGCTTTTCAGAGAGAGCGGAAGAGAGAGAAACAACCATGTGAGAGACACATCGATTGGCTGTGTCTCTTGGCCCGAATCAAACCCAGGATTCTCAGTCCGTAGAGTTGATACTCTAACCACTGAGCCAGACCAGCCAGGGCTGAAATTACGTTTCTAACTGTCACTGGTGTCTAGGAAAACTGTCCATCTCTGTAGGCTCACCTAATTGATCTCATTGGCTTCTCTAATTCTAATTAGCTCTTCAGATGATTCTCTTCACTAAAGAGTCAAATCTGCTAGAGGCAGATTCATCTGGTCCTTTATGCTCAGTTCTTTTCTTGAATTAGAGAGGCCAGGACCTCCACTATCCTGCTGAATGGCACCCTTATTTGTTCCTCTCAGTGCGGGAGTGGTTCTCATGTTTTATCAAGAAATACGATTCTTGCTTTAGCTGTCTGGTAGGTAACCTTCATTAGGCTGAAGGAATCCTGTTCTAGCTTACTGAGGGGTTTTTCCTTTACTCAGAACATCATGATAAAATTTCTACATCTATTGAGATAAAAGATTTTGTTTTATTGTACTGATTTTCACTAATAGGTTTCCTAAGGTGGAACCATTCTCTCATTCTGATGTAAACCCTGCTTAGTTTTATAGTATTTGTTTGTTTAGTTGGGATTTTTATATCTTTTTCTGGGCAAATTTCACTTTTTTCTTTAATTGATTTTTAGAGAGAGGAAGGAAGGTGGGGGATTGAGGGAAACATCAATTGATTGTCTGCCTTCTGTATTCCCCCTACCGGGGATCAAGCCTGCAACCTGGGTATGTGCCCTGACAAGGAATCTAACCGGTGACCTTTCAGTGCACAGTATGATCCCCAACCAACTGAGCCACACCAGCCAGGGCTCATTTTTTGTTGTAATGATCTGATCTTCCTATCCCATTTTGATAGCAGAATTATGCTAGCATGTGGAATGGATTTGGAAACATTTAATCTTTTTCAGGTTTGAATTTGTAGAAATTTATTTGGTAAAATTTACTTATAAAAACATCTGTGCTTGGTGCCTTTTTTTAGGGGTGGATCTTTGCCTTTTAGTGTTTTTTGTGGCATTTTATCTAAAGTTTTTTGTCCTTGAGTGAATTTTGGTAACTTTTTTTTTAAGAATAATTTCATGTATATTATTTCATGTATATTTAAGGTTTTGGGGTTAAAAGTCATGTGTGGTAATTTGCATTTGGGACTTTCTTATGACAAAAATTTCATTTGAATTACCAGAAGCAAACTCATTGGCCTGAGCTCTGTGAGCAGAGCTTTAGACAGAGCTGACCCAGGACTGGCATGATTCCGTCAGGGCTTGCTCCTCATTTGTTTCTCAGGTTGTCTCTGCTCCCTACAAGTGTTTTCTGCAGGAAGCTCCACTTCCACTCAGTCCTTACAGACAGAGTTCATCAGGATTCATGTTTTTTAGGGGAGACCAATTGCTTGGTCACTTGCCCTCTCCTGAGCAGTCGCCGTGGCCAGGGCTGAGTAGGGGGTTAGGGGTTGCAGGGAGGCAAGATGAGCCACCCCTGATCCATATGACGTGTTTCCTGTGGAATAGAGAGGTTCTTACACCAGAAAAAGGAACAAGGAGTGAGTAAATCAAACCACCAAGCGCCTGTCCTGGTTTCTGTATATTTTCTTTGACCAGCTTTGCAAAATGTCTGTCTGCTTTATTGGCCTTTTCCAGTTTCTTTGGGTTTATTTTCTCATTTCTAGCTTCTGAGTTGTATGTTTTGCTAATGTAATTTATTTCATTTCAATCTTGTTTTTTAATATATTTAGAACTATACATTTTCCTCTAAGTACTCCTTTGACTGTGGCCCACTGTGTGATTTTTTGCCATTGTGTCTGTAAGCTTGGCCTTACGTTTTCTTCCAGCTCTCAGCTATTCTGTGACTTACCTAATAGTCTTTTTTTCCCCCTGAAACCATTTCATCTCTACTTCTCCATCTCTTTTTAGCTGTTTAGCTCCTGGAATTGTAGCTCAGAATCCTGATGGAGGTAGAGTCCTTATGCTTCTCCCTTTTGTCATTCTCTGAAGCTGAATCCCACCTCTAAGTCCCACCTCAGTCGTGGAATCTGAACCTGTGAATAGATCTCCAAGAATGAACTGAGTGTTCTTAGAGCCCCCTTCCCCTGCCAAATGCTGTGGACAGGATTGGTCACCTGGTAGTCCTGACCTCTCCTGAAGTCAGGCTTGAGATTTGTGGCCCTTCAGACTCTGCACCTCTATCCCTTTAGGACCAACCTCTCCAGCCAGGTCATTTCCACCAGGGCTTTTCTCCTGCAGCCCGGCTCACTTTCTTGCCTTGTGATCCAGCCACTCATATGTAACACTGGCAAACGTAGGTTTACAGTTGTGAGTGCACGAGTTAATTCTTGCATTATTACTATTTATTAATTGTATTATTTTCCATACAAACAATTGGAAACCTTCTCTCGCCCCACTCTCTCTCTATATGTGCCAAGGAGCCCTCTTGGTAATCCGAGCCAGCCACGTGGTTTTCTCTGACTGTAAATGTGGTGACCTGTGTGCGTGTCTGTGTGGTGAGATATCTTGACAGAGTTTCTTACATTGAAACATCCTTGCATTCCTGGAATATATATTTTTCAGTATGTTGCTGGATTTGGTCTTCTGATATTTGGGGGGATTTGGGCATCCAGGTTCCTAACGGGTGGCTTGAGCTTTTGCTTCCTCTGCTGCCTTTGTCTGCTTTTGTATAAGACTAGAATGTTGCATTTCTAAAACATTTGGTAAAACACTTAAAACC